ACGAGCCGCCTTGGCGCGATCCAGCTGCAAAGCGCTTGGTCCTGCGCCCCATGGCTGAGTGCTATTAATTATGACCCGGGGCACATCATCCGGATAGTGTTTTTTGATCCGGATAATGGGTGTGGCGACCCGGTGTACGCACCGTGAGGGTGGACATATTTGAGCCTCCGCCTCTGTAAATGACCTCACTTCGAGTTTCAAATTCTCCACAACTAAACCTGCTACGAAGAAGATCAAATTGTCAAGGTGTTCCTCTTTGTCTTGGCTATCGATTTACAGTGCGTTTGACATGCATACCAGCTTTGCATTCGATATTTTGACCGCCAAAAAAGGTCGTCGATCTCTGTCGGTTTAAGGTGCGGGCGACTGTAAATCGAAAGCACTCCATGTGGTGTCAACTTTGACCAACAACAATACTTGTACTCACTCTTTCGAGCAGCGTGCCTTTGGCTAGCTACAGATATGTCGTAACACGGCACCATCCCGCACAGTGATGCATGAGGGTGCCATAACGAGATCAGAGCTACTTTTGGGTGCAAAGCCCAAACACTTTTGGTTGCTGTCCGTTGTTCCCACAAAACGCAAGGATCACTCACTAGTGAAAGCCTGTAGCGGCTACTGAGTAGTACCAATATAACCGCAACCGAGATGCGCGGCCATCTCGTAGGCATCCTCGATTCGACGAAACCACCATGAAAGGAGAGCTGCCCGTGCGGTGGCATGATCGCGAGCACCTAGAAATTTGCTTGTACCGTCGCCGAGCTCTTTCGTGGTTCGATAAAGTTGTCAAAATTCATCGTGTCATTTACAGGATTCCCAGCCGATGACGACGAACGTACCGTCCAGAAGAAGCATGACTCTAGTACTAGTACGCCGTATGCATCTACAAATGTCAACCTGTAGTTGCTTGAATCTGGCGCGGCGTCAACGTCAGCAAGGGAATATACGAACGAGCCTTTCTCCATGCAACATGACTGCATGACAACTGTACATTGCAGAACTCTATAATGTCACATGGTATATGTGCGGTAGCCAAGTCTCGTAGTTGTCGTGTGCAAGCGCCTAGTTGGTCGGATTATGCTATGTACGAGAGGTGATTGTGTACGAGGCTGCTCGTGCCGTGTCAGTGCAGACGTCTAATGTATATACCGATGCTGAGATTTTCTGGCGTTTTTGCTTCCACACTCTTGCAGCGTCGATTGCATGGAGGTGTCTCCACATTTTTGTCATATGTGTGTACTACAAAAAGAGTTTGTGGTATTACAAAGGTTATTTTGCTTAGGGGCCCTTGGTACTAGATCCTTTTCGAGGGATCGATCCCTCGACCATTTTCCCGCGGCAAATATAATGCTTCAACCACTGGGCCATATCACCGCACCCGCTTTTGTAGGGTTTGGGTTGTACCACTGGTTGTCGCCGTCGAAATCGTCTTGATGTTTGTGTGGCCCATTTACCACGTCGTGTGCATTTTACGCGTGTGTAAAACGTTTATCCACGAGAAACACACTCAAGCACACCGTACAAAATGTTTTTTCTTGCAGCTCTACACATGTACTAGTAAAGAAAAGGGAGACATACGTGTGTAAAACGGTGAGAAAAGGAGCCAAGCCAGCTTGCTTCAAATTGTAGGTAGGCTTCGCAAGGGAGGAGTGCTAGGCCCTCGGAAACCAGTCCAAAAGTCAGTGGCAAGCCAACTGGACTCTCGGAATTTGTAAAAATGAATGTGAAAAAAAAACCACACCGAAGTGTGGAAATCAGTTTTCACACTGATTAGAACAGATACTACACTTGATCTTAGCCAAAAGGCCGAGAAGGTATGATCTCCAGTTGGATAAGCGTCACGCTGGATACCTGGGTCCGTCGCGGGCTTTTGGTGTCGCTTGAGATACTGCTTTGTCGCTAAATGCTTCTAGATTTCAGCCGCCACCTTGCGCCTGGATTCAAGAGCCTGCGACGAGAACGAAATCATGGTTGTCAAGTCCTCTTTACGTCTGCATGGAGCTGCTCCAAGGCACGTTGTGCCACTCTTGGAGTATTTGACGACTCCCCATTAAATGATGGGGCTGTAACTATTTTTGCAGTGCAACTTCGAATGAGTCTCGCAGAACGCTTCACAGCACGTTCGACGGTTTCATGACGTGGCGCTCTCCAGTGCAAGGCGTGGTACCTCAGGGTAGATAGATAGATAGGTAGATAGATAGATATATAGATAGATAGATAGATAGATAGATAGATAGATAGATAGATAGATAGATAAATAGATAGATATTTGACTAGAAAGTTCGAACGCGCTGGAACAAACAAAATTAACAAACGTCAAGTTGATACGAGTCGATTGTAGCGGACATTCTACCTCAGTACTGCGACTAGGCGCGGACGCGGGCTTCCCAGCACGTGGCGTAGACGTCCTTGACCGTGTTGAAGTTCCACTGCCACTGGAACGAGTACACGCCGGGCGCAATGTCATTTTCGAGGTTGAAGCAGAGACTGCAGAGCGCGCGGCCTTGGTCGCGAATCCCGCCCTTCTCGTCGCAAAACTTGGGGCAGTGCTGGAACCCCTTGTAGTCGATGACGCCTTCTTGGTGCACCCCGTTGAGGTGCTGGTACTCGATCGGCCACTCGTGGAGCGCGGGGTCGGACGCATTGGCCGACGTGGTGCGGAAAATGCGGACGCCCGTGTCTGGAATGTACGCGTTCGTGCACGGAGCCGCCACGTGGTTCTTGGCCGGGTACGCGACGCACACCTTTTGCCCCGGCACGTAAGTGGCCATCGGCGCCGCGTCCGTGTAGGCGCCGGCGGATTCCTTCGCGCACTGGCACGACTTGTGCTGCAGCAGTGGTCGAAAGTCCAAGCCCGTGTCGACGCCAAATCCTT